ATTAAGCCTGATCTGTGAACCCAGTTCCTCTGGAACTGTTATTAACCGGTATTAAACATGTGGTTCACTTTAGGGTTCGAGTGTCACATTAGATGAACCCACGTAGTTGTGGGTTTGTGGAACAAAGTGTGATTCAGCCATGGGTTGGCATGGTCTTCCCATGTTGAGTTAAATTGCTAGAGTTCATAATTTCTCAAAGGAAGTAGAACCGTTGTAAGGTTTCCTTGTGCAACTTGGCTCCAGATGTAGAACTGGCAGATGGTAGATCCGGTTTCCTTTGTACTGTTAATCTTCTGTGACCAATTCACTTTTCTTTGTGGAATGCCTTTCAGGTTGCGAGAGCTGGGGAAGGTTTCCGTGTAAAACGAAACAAAATCATCATCTACTTTTGCTCTTAAGAGATTAACAAGATTGCCGGCTATGAATTAAAAAACAAAACAAAAACAACACAACATAAAAATGGGAGTTTCACCACTTTGCTTTCTTTGTTTTTCCAGTGGTTCATCTCACAGTAAATCAAGAGCCTGCTTACCAATGTAATCAACAAAGGAGTTTATTACCAAAATACAATTAGTCAATACATGACAAAACTTCTGTAAAAGTAAAATAAATTATTCTAACTGTTGTTCAGTATCTTGTAAGGTAGTCAAAAGTAGCTCTATACAAAGCCTGCTTCCGTCGTTTCTAAACAAGACAATTCTAAAGAGAACTTAAGGCATGCAGTTTAATGTGCGGATCTTACAAAATAAGCCATCCTATCAGTAAGAAACAATAAGAGAGAGAGAGAGAGGGAAAGAAAAAAGAACAACAACAAGGTCTGTGGTCTTCTACGTGTCAGTTTTCTATACGTTTTATACTTTGGCTATAAAAAGCAGTGCCGTCATATTACAATTCTTTTTCTTACAAAAATATAAATGTATCCATGCTCATGAATATCAACTGGAAAAGCCTATTAAATATATTTTTAACATTACTTTGAGCACCGACTGTACATTTTATTCATTTATTTAGTGATTAAATAAGAGCTTTAAAATTCAGAAACTGGCAGTTACTTCACTTGTCTCTCAAGGGAAAGGCGCCGTGTGAAGCTGTAAAATAGCCTCTCTCGGCCAAGCCGCTAATGCCATACTTAATTGTGGAAGCAGGGCCCTGTTTAGTATAATATTCCGTTTTCCAGGGAAGTATATTTAATGCAATCGTATGGAATGAGCTCAGACTGAAGGTTTTAGTCTACTCAGACAGGAGAGCAAAGAGGCACTGGTGCTTCCTGTATCCTAGATGTCTGGTTTATTTTCGCATCCACTAAGATTCAAGCCATGTTTGCATAATATCTGCATATATATAAAGACCAAACCATCTACAGGCTAGCATTTCCTAGGGGGGAAAAATGCAAATCCAGGCTTGCTTTTTAAGGGGGAGGGTAGGTTTATATGTGCCTTACTCTACATAATATTTGTCGTGCACAAATATCCAGTGAGTGCAAATGTCATTTCAACCACTTCTAATATTTTTCTACTCTGTTCTTGGCAGAGTTTTACAACTGGGTGATTCAGTTGATTAGCTCAAATAAGGAAGCATGCTGGGTTTTTTTTTAGCATAGCATGTATTCAATACAATTCCTTGGATACAACTGGAGGCTATTACAGAACAAGGTGGCTCTCTTAACTCTTCTCCATAAATTCTTTTCCCTAACAAGAGTATATAAATACCTGCAGCTTGAAGTATAAATGGGAAGTTTATCCGTAAGAACTAGAAACTAAAGCCTACTTTTTAATTCAGAGCACTGAGTTCAGCTCCTACATAAATTAAAGCAAACAGTATAATTAGCAAGTCTAAGCATCATCTTACCAATATCTAAAAACTGAAAAGAAGACATGCTATATATCCGAAAAGTGCTTTTTGATAAAAAAGAAATTCAATATATCCAAATAAGGTACATTTCAACATCCCCGCCCCCACCAAGGCAAGTAACATGATCAATAAACTCCTTTCAGGCTCCAGACTGAAGAATGTCAGTTTAAAATTGGTTGGCTTCTTGTGCAAATAAAGGTAATGTCACTCTTTTAGTACTGACTAGTCACTTAATTTCTTAAAAAAAAAAAATCTCTGAGTTATTTAACAATGCGAGTTAAAGATTACATACAGAAAATGCACTTCTTTATTCCTTGTTCATTTTTTTAAAAAAAATACATGCCTAAAAATTAATAGCTAACTTCAGTAGGAACTTCACTGCTGTTATATACTGTAAGCTTATACTTTGTCACAATTTTATTGTAGTGTACTAAAGAGGCATGATCTATTGTGAAGAATGAAAATAAACAAAGGACAGCTACCATGGCTTGAAAGGGGAAATTAAAAATGCATTTTTAAAAAATTTTACTTAGATGAGGAATGTCTAACCTTAACAATTTTAAGACTTGAAGTCCACGAGTCTTAGTTGCCAAGGTTGGACACCTCTTCTGTTCCTTAAAAAAAAAAGTTTCTCCGCCTCAGCTACTTTGCATGGGCTTCAACTCCCAGAATTCCCTAAATTCAAATCCATGCAGCTTAAAGCGATTGTGACTGAGAAAAACTGCCCTAAAGGACAAACTTGGAAACAGCCACATTCTACATCCTATCTAACTGTAATCCTAACCTGGAGTATTACTGTAAATCAAAAATGGGCAACTTGTTTGGTGGTAGATTGTATCTCATTTAAAAGTAAAAGGTCCAGCAAGGGAAAGATCAGAATTTTCTTCCGATTTTTCTTTTTCTTTTGGCAAGAGTAGGTGCCAGATAACGATGGGCAGTAGGTTCTTCTCAAATTTGGACCATGCAGGGACTTCCAAACTTTGTCAGCTTTTAAGACTTCTGGACTTCAACTCCCAGAATTCCTCAGCCAGCCATGGTGGTTGGGGAATTCTGGGAGTTGGAATCCTCACAAGTCTTAAAAGTCGCCAAATTTGGGGACTCCCAGACTACTACAACGCTCTCTTTTCAAGGTACTGCTGCATATAGTTCAGAAAGAAACAATATACAGTATTAAAAGAATGCAAAAAGGAGAAATCCGACATTGGGTAATATGAAATGCTTTCAAGAACTATTCCCCGTTCAGCATTTAAAGCTTGAAAATTATTTACACCAAGTTTTCCATTTGCCTAACTTCACACTCCAGAAATATTTGGGGCGAGGGCAGGGAAAAAAAGACACCCAACTCCAGTAGCACCGTAAAAACTGTTGAGGTTTTAACTTTGCTAAAATACAAATATAAATAGATAAATAAATAGAGAAGGAATATATCCCACAAGTCTTGCAAAATAATTCAAAACCGCATATCAACTGCACTGTAAGCAATCAGCTACTTGAGTGAAAGGAAATGCAGTAGAGGCGTGACATGAGCAGAGAGAGAACTGTTAAAAGGAAGCACCCAACTATGTTTCATACAAAGAATAACATTGGTTTTGTAATAACGAGATGAGATTCTGTCATTGGCATAGAAATCACTGATGGAGGAAGAAATCCATGGCGTAAGACAGGGATCTTCAAACTTGGCCATTTTCAAGACTTGTGGACTTCAACTCCCAGAATTCCCAGGCCAGCATGGCTGGCTGAGGAACTCTGGAAGTTGTAGTCCATAAATCTTAAAGTTGGCAAGAATGGAGACCACTCTGGCCTGAGGGACAAAAGAGGTTGTAACACCTGCCAAATCCTAAGTGTGTAATGTCACAAGGTGCCAGAAAGAACAGCAGAGCTCAGCTAAGAACGCACAAAATTGTGTGTTCTTAGCTGAGCTCTGTGATGCCTTTAATCTTCCTGGGGTGTTGGGGTTTTTTTTTGAGAGAGAGAGATGAGAAAGGAACAGCAAGGAGTGAAATTAACATTCGGTCTCATTTTGATGGAACAATCCCTCCGTCAGATTAAAAGCTGCCTGAGACTGGGAAGGACCTGTTTGTTTTCAGGTGCTAAATCCAGCAGGGTATTTTTTTTCCTCTTAGAGTTGCAATGGACTTTTGTATAGAGATTTTGCAATGTTATTTGATGAGAGAGAGAGAGGGGGGGGGGAGGGAGGGAGGGAGAAGGAAGAATGGAGGGAGAAATAGATAGATCCCTTTCACTGCACTGCTTCGGAGTTGGATTAACCTTTTATCTTGTATCTTGTGGCCCTTCTAAAATTATCCATGCTTAAGCACACTGAAATGAAATACTAATAAATATCTGCTTAACCTATGTACAGGTAGTACAGAAAAATTTGCTTAAAGAGGGTCCAATGACATACTTCCTTTCCTATCACATCGAAGAAAAGAATTAAGCGGCCAAATATTGTACCAGGAGGCAGAACTTATTTTATGTCGCTTGACGCAGCAAAAGAGAGGTTTTGCCTGGAAAACCATTGGTTGTGATAGGAAGCCTAAGAACTAACAAAGGCTTCTGTCCTCAGAAATGGCTGCTTTACGGTCGTATCAAGATGGTTTTCTTTTAACACTTACCTGAAGCAGATTTTATGCCCTCTGGATGCATTTCTAGGTAGAAAGGCTAAATCCCCTTTTTGTTAATTCCTCACGGTGAATTCTCTTCACCACTATCATTTGGGTTAATAATAGGCATAAAAAATAGTTCTGTGGGTAGAAGGTAACTTCTGGGTTATTATTATTAATATTATTTTACTGTAAACGCAGCATTATCATGTCAGGGTTTCTTCAAAAACTTGTAAAATAATCTGCTCTTCTGCAGATAACACAGGCTTCGGGATGGAGGCAGGAACAAAGGCTTGCTGAAGAAAAGCACTTTGAGCAAATAAATATGTACATATACATACATGCTTATTCCTAAGTTCTTTGATTTAGCAAGTCTTGCAGGCAAAGTTGGAGATCCAGAGCGAAGGGAACTTTCTCTAGCTTGATGTATTTCCACTTAGACAATTTGAAGATGTGCGGCTGGGGATTTCTGGGAGTTGCCCAGAAATTCCCAGCCAGCAAGGCTGACTGGGGCATTTTAGGAGTTGGAAGTTCACACATCTTCCAAGCTGCCAAGGTGGAGAAACATTGAGTTTAGTTTATACTTGGAGTTGCTGCATGGTCCTTGTTCAGAATGATGTTGATGATTTCCCCCTCGTGTTCTTTCATGTGGTCCAACAAATTCTCTTTGCTGGTGGACTCAAATCCACAGATACAACAGCAGAAGAGCAGAACACAGTATTCTGAGCCCAGGTAGGACAGGCCTGCGGCCTTCTCTGAATTGCTTGAGGTATTGGTTGTAGAAGGTTGATCCTGATGGTGGTCAGAAATCATTATTTTGTTCGCTGTCGGCTTAGGAGAGTTTGAAAAAGACAAACCTTCGGAGCTACTGGTGAAAGGAATGGCATCGCCTTCCAAAGTTTTGGTTACTTTCTTCCCAGTAAGCTGACCCAGTAGCCTACAAGACAAAGGGAAAAAGTTGCTTATTGTTCATTCACGAACGCTCAAGAGATGGGAGGATTGTTCAATACTACACGCAATACTGAAAAATGACCTGTAAGTTATATTCTGCATTTCCTCAAAAGGGCTGCAATGTTATCTTCAAACTGTTATTAAATAGCCTCTTGGTTTTTTTTTAAAGAGAGGTTTAAAAGTTTGGCATAAGGAGAGTTGTCCCGGCCAGCCAGGTGGGTGGCAAATAAAATTAATAAATAAATAAAGTAAAAAACAAGAGGTCAGCTAGCAAAAGCATCCATTTTCATCATCCCTCCCTCCCTCATTTCTGATTACATTTCTTCTCTCAAACCAGGAGATTAAAAGGGTTATCTTTTCATCGTGATTTTGGATTGAATCTGGTGTCACAAACCTAAACGGGGACTGCCGATCGCACACACCTGCCGCTTTGTGATATTGCATCATTAATAGCTTTATTCACTTGTTCGTAATTATAGTTTTCATCACTTGCATGTTTCCACATATGAGACTTCAGGGAAGGAGGGTGGCTGCATACATATCCACAGAGAGAACATCTGAAAGGGATGCAAAAGTTATTGCAAGTGTAAACAGATACTACAGCAAAGCATTATTTTCAGACCAGTACTCTATTTTTCATTTAAGCCCGGCTTATCTGGAATTGCAGTTTAAGTATCATTTTAAAGAACCTCGACTAGGGTTCCTCCTCTAACTTTAATTCTGTCTCAGGGCAAATATATAGCCCTACCTATAAGATTACAGATTAGCTACCCGTGTTTCCCCGAAAATAAGACCTTGTCATATATTTTTTTTGCCATCAAAAAAGGCACTAGGTCTTATTTTTGGGGAGGGAATGTCATCCACTGACTCATCTCACTTGCGCGTCACCCCCAGCCTCCTGTCAGAGGCCTTCAGGAATTTCTTCTGCAGACAGCAAAGCCGATCGGAGCTTTATTATCCGCTAGAGAGGCCTTCAGGAAAGCCTTGCTGGGTGCAGAAGAAATGGGCTGGCAAGACAGGTGTCGGGGTGTGCGAGGCCTGGCTGCAACTGTCCAAACATAAGCAGTAGGGCAGGGCCCCACTCCATCTCCACCGTAGCTTAATTTTTACTTGTGAACCCTGGAGTGGGCAGGGGGGGGGGTCTTAATTAGGGCTTATTTTGGGGGTAGGGTGCATATGTAAAAAATCAATCTAGGATTTACTTTCGGGTTGGGTTGTAATTTCTGGGAAACACAGTAATAAAATGGACTTTTCAGGATGCAGAAATTGTAGGGGACATCCCATATTCTCAGGAACTGAGAATATGAATTTTCAGAAGATCAAAGGCTGAATCTGGTTAAAATGGAGAAGATGTCTATTGCTCTAAGATTATTTTTTTCTTTTTGTGCTTCAAATTAGATTTATCCCTGGCCATTCAAAGGAGTGGTTTGTCCTTATCTCCTCCTTCCTAGGGTTTTGAGAGAGGGACCGGCCTAAAAATCACCCAGCTAACTAAGGCAGACTAAAACTCTCACTTTGTAGACTGTTGTTGTTAAGGCTACACCAGACTGGCTCTCTCTAAAGCAGGTATCCCTCGATGTTCGGCCACAGTTCAACCCAAATTTTCCACTGCTAAGCAAGACAGGTGCTAAGGGAGTTTTGCCCTGTTTTACGACCTTTCTTGCCACAGTTGTTAAGTGAATCACTGCAGTTAACACAGTCGTTAATTGAATCTGGCTTCCCCGTTGCATTTGCTTCTCCGAAGGTTGCAAAACTGGATCACATTACCCCAGGACACGGCAGCTGATTTGAGTCAGTTGCGAAGCATGTGAATTTTGATCATGTGTGACCATGGGGATGCTACAATAGTCATGTGAAAAATGGTCATAAGCCACTTTTTCAGTGCTGTTGTAACTTTGAAGGGTTACGAAAGAAATGGCTGTAAGTGGACGGCTACCTGTACTACCAAATAATTGATAAATTGGGGGGACGACCGGATACCTAATCTTTCAAAAGATTACTCAGTGAAACAAATCAATAAGCTCAGTAACAGAACGTTACATGGAGCTCCGGTTAAAAGGGCTGGGGCATTCTTTCTAGGAGAGACTTTGGAATGTGATGGTTGAAAGAAGGATAGCAACAGCATTAGCACTTGGACTTATATACCGCTTTACAGCCCTCTCTAAGCGGTTTACAGAGCCAGCATGTTGCCCC